TGACCTACCAGCTTGGGGTCCAGGTATGGCTCCTCCTGAAGCCGCGGAGGAAGCTGTGGATGCAGAGGATGCTGATGCCGACGTTGTGAAGGAAGATGATTAAGTAACTTCAGAGTGGTCTGAACCTGAGTGAGTTGACGTCGGGGACTGGAGCAAGAACGGAAGTACGCACGTTTATAGGGAGTGGCCTTGTCATGTCTTTGACTCTGAAGCTTCCGCACCGGTAGTTAATACAGTAGATACCCTCAATCTTTTTCTTTACGTACTCATGCTGCCGTTCTGGTCAACCTCTGCGAATAACTGCTGCATTCGTTTGTTCTTAAGCTTTTCGCTCGTCAGCATGATTTGCAGCAATTGATCGGCTAATCGATCCTTGAAAACCTGCGCTTCTTCCACTTCAATGCGTGCCAGCTCGGCGTCACGTTGGAGAAGCCGTGTTCGTTGTAACAAGGGCTGCAGGAAGCGCTCGTTGTAAGCAATTGAGCGTTGCAATAAACGCAGTTCGGCTGTTAAGTGTGGCACCAACATCTCGAGGTGCCGTAATGTTCGTTGTGTCTCCTCATCATTTTCGATATCAGTTTCAATATTAGCAACATGAAGCTCGTGTTCAGTGTCCAACCATTTTGAAACAAGAGGCAAGCGATCCAAACAACTTGCCATGCGTTCGTTAAGAAACTCAAACGGATTTCCCCACATCGTAAATCTCGGCGCTGAAGCGTTTGCAGAGGATGATGTGGTCGCTTCATTAATTGCGGTATTCAATCGCGAACGAAATTTGGCGCGTAGACGCCTTTTTATCTCAATTCGCTCTTTTAGTTCAATCGTAGACTCGGACAACTCGTAAGCAATGGCGTAGCAAACTGACATAGTCGAGGCATGTGCTTTCTCGGCGGCTTCGATTTTGTTTTGAAGAACTATAGTATCACTTGCAACATCTGTGTCATAGCGCTCAAGCTTTGAGCGAATGAGTTCAAGAGCTTTCTTTTTAGCACTGATGTCACCATCCTGTTGAAGTGTTGGGAAGAGCAAGCGATGCTCCTCTGATAATGGCGTTTGCTGCAAACGGAGACGAAGATACTACGTGCCAAAGTAAGTGAATACTTTTGCAGAGTTTTGTATTATTTCTCACCTCAAGATGTCGCTCTTCCTCCAATTGTTTCAAACTGAAGCGAGTCACTTTGTAGCTCAGCGCATGTTCAAGAAAAATACTAGGGCTTAGGACTGTTTCTAGTCCTAGTTTGGGATTCCATCGTAAGAACTCACTGCACTGCTCAAGGTCCTTTCAAATGAACAACAATAAGAAATTACTACGCACAACACTGCCAACTTTATCAACATCAAAGAGGGTCCTTACCATGGCAAGAAGCGTTGGTCGTAACCTTGCAATAAGGGCGAGAGCTACTCGATATACAGCTTTCCATCCATCCATAAAGACTAGATCCCAAACTCGAACAAGTGTTTGAGTGTCAAGAACTCGAGCAAACACTGTAACAAACCACTATCGAAAAATACAATCAAATCGAATTTGAATGCTTAGCTCTAGATACGATAAGTGCTGACGCAATCACCTGAGTGACCATGATGCTGGAGTGCATTCCAATTTGTCGAAAGTGGGCAGATAGATCATAGAAGTGCTGCTTTAAAAGTTGCTGGAAGAGAAAAATACATCGCGAGAGCCTATACGCACCATCAAAGTGATCATTTAATATCAGCAACCAAGTCTTAACAAACACTGTATGAAGAAGGCTAACCCTGGCATCTTATGCTTCCACAACTCGTCCATCCCTTTGCGTCGAATCAAAGCAAGTGTTAGCCAAAATGCGACCTCTTGCATAGAGAAATTGTCAAGATTAAGCGCCATAGTATTTTCAGCGTCTTTCATCACAAGCAGCAAAGAAGCGACAACATAATTCATCCCCTGTCACGGTAATTGTATCATCAGATTTTATATCACCAAGTAGATGACTTAGAACCGATTGTCCATACTTGGCAATACCCAACGTCATCAGCATAAAGCGCAACGGCTTTTAGTACATTTCCAAGCAAACGTTTACCGTCACCTAATACAATAACTAAGTCAGTGCCGCACGTCACCGTAATATAAGTCAGCCTTTATTACCATCATCCGAGAAAAAACGATCATTAGGAAATGTGCGCTCAATGTCGCGGTCGATTTCACCTTCTACTCCTGTGGCTTTAAGTATCGCCCTATCTTCCAGTTTTTTTATGTCCGCCTTCTACATCCCTCAATCAGTCACCCGATTACACATCTCGCAATGTTTAATGCAACCAATACCCGTAAATAGAAGTCTCGACTGCTCATTCCTTTTGGAATATCCTTGATTAGCGTCGCTACATCTCCAGCTTGCAGCCAATAGCTTGAACAAAACGTTGACAGGTCAGGCGATCTGCCAGCTTTGAAGTTTTGATTACTACATACCGAAATCTCGACGCATCAGGAAATCCTGAGATCCAAACAGCTAATCGTCGGAGTTTCTGACGCTCCACAAGCGATCTTAGACTCTTGTCGACCGCCGCGATAGCCTCCACAGTGTCAGTCTACACGTCCAAATACCCACAAGAGTCAATAAAGAATAAAAGACAAATCCTATCATCAGAAAATCACCTGAATCCACCCACGACGAACAATGACCGCCACAGCCTCCGCAAACAGCGCATGAACAGTATCCGCCGTCGACGTCATGTTGAACACGCCCGATTTCTGGTGAAAATATGGTGTTTACCACACTAGCGTGACAAAGTGAGATTGTATGAAGGCAAACGAAGGCGTCGTCATTGTACGTTGCGCTCTGATGCTTTAAGTGCACGGATAATTACAATGATATGGTAGACCGGACAGAAAGTGACGCTGGTCCCGTACGAAAAGGAGCATGTTCCCAAATACCATAATTGGATGCTGGATCCGTGGCTGCAAGGTGAGTTCAGTGACGAACGCCACAACTTCCTCTATGAACTCACCGATGCGGTGTACTTGCTTCAGAAATGACAGCATCCGAGCCATTGTCGATAGAAGAAGAATTTGAGATGCAGAAGACTTGGAGAGAGGATGCCAAGAGTACGACTGCACATGCACTGAACATCTTGAGCGGCGTTTACTCAACCACTGCTGTATTTTTATATTACTAGAGTGTACATTTATCGTTTTAGCAAAAGCAGCGGATGACAGCAATTCTGAAGTGTCATATATCGACGAAGGCGCGATTGATCGTGGGTGATTCAGGACTGTGTTTTGACTTGGTTGCAAAGGCTGAAGTTTGAAGTGGCTGGGTGTAGGCATGGCTGGAGACGTAAATCTGTTCTTTAATGACTATGACGACCCAAATGCTTGCGAAATCGAAATCATGATAGCCGAGGATAGGTATCGTCGCAAGGGCTTTGCGGAAGAGGCGGTGAAGCTCATGATGACATATGGTACGTCAAAAAGGTTGCTGCCATCTAGCCAAGCAGCACGATGAAACAAGCTTGATTTGACATTAACTGCAACGAACAGCTACGTCAACTCTCAACGTCACCCGATTCGTCTGCAAGATCATCGAGACAAATTTCGCCTCACTTCAGCTCTTTAAAAAGTAAGCGGGGTAATTATTCCTTTTCACGTTCTATCGTTTTGATGTGCTTTTGAAAATGCAGGCTGGGATACGTAAACTACAATTATGTCGCTGCTTTCAATCAGATAGAAATGGAATTTATCACACAGAGAAAGCTGATCGAGTGAGATCGAGCTGTATTCCAAGATTCTTATTTTTGAAACACGATTATTGTGCCCTCGACATACATTTATGCTTTATCGAATTGTTAGGTGCAAGCGCCAAAGATGCGCGTTTTGGCCATACGGGTTTGTGGCAGTAGCTGCGCATCAGCAAACAGAAAGTGTATAAAACGACGTAGGTTGCATAGATCCTCAATTTCTACAAATTGGACACGTAGTAACGGTAAAGACCTCTATGCTTTTGTAGAAGCGGATTCATCAAAGATTCCTTTGTGCTAGGTGCACGACTATGCGCTATTGACCCGCGCCCAAATACTCAGAAACGGCCTCGTCGAGCAAAAGTTCGTTGTGAGATCACAAGACTAAATAAAGATCATTGTTGCAAGAAAAAACATCTTTCGAAACTTCAATCTGGAAAAGTTGCAGCATTTACCGATCCTCAACTCAGGTTGTGGCTTCGTTCCGGTATAGCGGTTCCACAGGCCGTGTTGAAATCACTTCAGCAAACATGTCTTGTCACTGCACTCTCCACCATTTTGGCTTGTTCCGAGGTCAATCTTTTGATTTCCACGCTTAAATATTCGTCCATTTCTGTAAATGATAATAAATCTGCTATGTCTCCATCAAATCGTAGTGGTTCTGAGGTGTCTGAATTCGCTTCCGCTCTGTTTCAGGTTCCTTAACTACTTTGACCTCCTTCTTCCTTGCCTCTATCTCTTCCTCTTCCCCATCATGCGATCAATCATAATCAATAATCTCTCTCTCCGAGATGGCATTCATGATATCCTTCTCCATTATTGTCCCCTGGGTCCCGTCGCGTTATCAGCAGCTGAAAAATGAAGTTAATTGCGTTTTACCGCTTCCAGACGTGCTACAGCAAATCCAATTAGATCAGACGCATCAAATTGACGCAGCGGCGATGATTATTGCATCAAAACGCTCGTCACGTCATCAGCAGCTGTGATATCAAGTTAAATGCGGTTTAGCGCCTGCAGGAAGTTCTAGTGCTGCGAGAAGATTGCTGTATACTCTACTTCAGACAGTTCGTATTTAAATAAAGAATGCTTTCTTTGTAACCTGTGCCAACTTCAATGTGGATTACTACCAGTCCCCACTAGTTTTGTCCTCGGACGAACACTTGAGCAGGCGGCCTCTGCTATGGTATTGTGTAGACAGACAGACTATAACCGTATTTTAAGTAAGATTTGATGGATGATGATATAGCGATTTTTCGTCTGCTCCTCAGCGTCGAATAACGATTAGCTCCTAGCTAATGTGGTTGCTCACAATTGGGTCTTGGCAGCACAAATACATCCATGAATTTCAACTGCATTGCACTTTTTTAGGTTTCTACTTGTGTATCCAATTTTTTCACAGACAGAATGCAATTATTTATCACGTCGTGCGTTAGCCCATTTTGATTGATTGGACTCCTTGCTGATGAAATCCTTTCAGAAAGTGGCCAATTCGCAGATGGACGATTTGTTGCTCGACGAATTCATTAAAATGTAGTGTGAAAAGACAAAATATTTTGAACGTGGATCGCCAACATGAGGTTTGCAATCTTCATCTCTATTTCTGACGACAATGTGGCACAAAATTCAGTTCTTGCGTGCGCATAGCTCTAGGATGCTCAGACCCTGAGTTTGAATCTACATCTCTATCTCCGACGACAATGCGACATCGAATTCATTTCTTGCGTCCATCACTGAGGGTATAATTCCAGGATGCTCAGGTCCTGATTGGCGTTCGGCACGTTGTGGCTCACTCAACTACGTTTCTGTCGGTGCGCACAATGGTCTGACAACAACTGGAGGCAAACTTTTGCCAACTTTGATATAAAAGAGCAGCAACAAGGCTAAGTTTGAGAAGGTGGACGGCGCGATGGTGTCGTATATTGATCAACAGTGCGCTTCTGAAGCGCTAGATTGATGTGCAGGTTTCTTGAGGCAACTCTGCCAGCCGTAAGTAAATATAAATGCATCGCGAGCTAACACTAGCAAAGGTTGAAAGCAAAGTATCAAACGCGTGACATCGCCACGTGCGTGGTCCTGGTGGTCTCACGCTTTACGTACAGGCTGGCGATATCGGTATTCCAAGGACATTTTATCAAGAGTGACCGAATAGCGTACATCAAGGCATAAACATTTCGATCGCCACCATTTGTCGATGGGTAAATCGTACGTGAATTCCTGGTGAAAGCGCTCTTCAAATAGTCCATTTTACACAGTCGTGATGACCAAGAAATCAATCCTTGGATTCTGGTCCAAATTCGTTGTCGTTGATGGAGTCAATTACGCCTTCTTCGCCGAGTTTCGATACTGAGATAGACATGCATGGGACGAGATCGGTGTAGTCGTAGACGAGTCGACGAGCGTAACGTGAATACACAAAAGACCGCTCACACTCGATTGGGGAATAAAGGGTTTTCATAACGCCCATAATTCATTGTGAAATCAAGTACGAGATAGAGTGCTCATGTCGAAGGTATCGTCTAGTGTGAGCCAGGCGAATATAATCCGTATTAATACTGAATTGGGTCCCATATGAGAACCATTTGGTGAAGAATGTGTTTGGGAAGCTCATTTATGAATTACCCTTGAGAAAACCAACCTGTTTCAATCAAGTAACGTACTCCTGCACAGAAGCATAAAATCGGTGCGTGCACTAATGCACCATTTTGATGCCAACAGTTTCTTGGTTTGTCATAAATCGTTATACTCAACAAAATCGTTTGATACTTATTGCGACGACTGCTGAAATAGAATTGCGATACGAAGCTCGAAATTTTGTCGCACGACATATTTTACGAAGCAAAAACACGCTCTGAGTGCATCAACAACGTATGTCTCCATTTCACAACAGATAAATGACTACTTTCGACAATTAGCGAACTACACTTTACAAAAGACATTCAAACCACTTTAAGGGCTTTTTCTTATCGCCAAAGACACCATCACCGTTCCGAAATGAAGTGTCAACGTGGTTTAGCCCTGTCCTGTACCGCATACTTTCGTACGTTTTGTCAAAGGAATCTAAAGGAAGGCCCATTGCACAGCTCGAATATTCCACAATGCCATCATTTTCAGATGAGTGGTGCGGTAAAAGCTGACCAGCTAGAGCGTAAATAGCTGACTTTACTGTTACAAGTCCCAGGTAACTGTTGCTGCACATGACTGCAGTTACATTTGTAGCGTAAGCATTTTGTGCAGCAATGTAGGCGTCGTTTAAGGCTTGTGACGACAAGTTCGAACCCTTGTAGGCCAGCGACAACTCGCCAGCGTTTGTAGGGCAATTTCCTAACAAGTCAATGATTTTGTCAACCACAGCATTGTAATCTCCGTTGCACCATTCTTGTATATAATTTGAGCCCATGCTTCCTTCCATGGGAGCGCTTGCGGCAACCCAAGCGGATGATTGATCAAAAATGGCGAGACCGCGAGCAATAGCGCCTGCCAGAATAAGGTTTCCCATTGAGTGACCGACAAAAATCGTGTCCCTGATCGTTCCGGTGGCGGCGTCACTTGTATTACTTACCTGAACAAGCAAATCGATGAGTCGCTGCTGAAATACCATGTCATTCCACGAATTTAACTTCGTAGCTAACGTTATGTACTGCCGGCTTGTGCAGCAGGGCGAATGATCACCAATTTCAGACCCGAAATAATTTTCAGGGTCATGCGCTGTCAGGCCATAATCGTCAAAGGAGGCCAAGCCAGCAACAAATACACAAGCCCGTCGAACACCCTTGCAGCCACAAGACTCGTCCGTGACAAAGTCCCAAGCATCGTCGAAAAAGCCTTCGGCGCGAAGGTTACGGTGGCCCCATTCAATAACCGAACGCATTAACGTCGAAGTTAGCGATGGGGTGATACGATCTCCAAACGGGACCTTTCCACATGAGGCCAACGTATCCAATGGTACGCGTGGAGCCGCAATTTTCGGTGCAGTCTGCTCATACTTTACTCCAATATCTACATGCTTGCCAAAGATCTGAAACTCATTGTGCTGAAGCCATGATTGGCGTGTACACAGCACAAAATCTTCACCTGCAAATTGAAAGACCAAAATCGAGCCATTAGGACACTTGTCACTCTTAGAGCTAGATTGAGTAGCTGTCGACGCTTCATAAATGACATTAAGTACGCTCTCAATAGGCGGGATGGAACCTGCAGGTAGACAAATCGATTCATCCTCACTTTCTGAAAGATTATTGAAACGATGAGTGTAGTATGCTGTTCCATCAACAAGAGAGTATTCATGCACGTGACCGTCTGTCTCGATCGACGCCATTCCATTGTATTTCATGCTTTTATCGTCAGTCAAGCTCTCTGGTGCTGGAGTCGCCACTACGTCGAAAGTTGAGGCACCATGTACGTACATGGCCTTACGCTTGATCTTAAACGATAGTCGAAGTGCTGGCTGGTTTTGTAGGTTGCCTAAAATTTGGTGCTTCGCGATATGCGAGTGAAGATGAAACGTGTAGTTGGACAAGTTTATCACTTCGGTCACAATGAGCACGGTACACACAATAGTGCACGCTACGACACGCCATGATGCAGGTCTACGGTGGTACCGTGCTTCGTGTGGACATTGCTGCTTCACAAAGTCTTCTTTGTAGTTCATGATAATGACATTGACTAATTGTAAATGAGAATGACTTCGATTCAACGGCTTGTAAATTACAAAAAAAAAACGAGAGCAGACTAAAGATTTGCTAGCACATGGAGCCTGCCTTTACTAAAGGGCAATCATCTAAACCGAAAAGTATGATGGGCATACCATTGGCTTTTGGAGAACCGAATCTTTATCAAACGGACAACAAATCATCACCTTGTGACCTTCGAATTTGTGGTCGTAATGATAAAGATACTAAAGTCGTACGTGCCTAGACTTCATGTTGTCAATTACGGCTGAATAGTGCCACAGTCATTTGTGATCGGACAAGGATTTTGCTATGGAGAGCATTCATGCTGGAAGAACGAATGAATGCAATTCGCTAGGGAGGAGTTTCAGGCTTTTGTGCATCCGAACATCACGCAGCTGCCTGGTTACGCTGAAGGATGAAGTCAAGTTTATGTGTTGTATCTGGACATGAAAGTGTTTAAGTTTTCGCTGATAGATGTGTTTGAGCACCGATAGCTCTTAACGCTTTATAATTTATACTACAATCTGTAAAATGCTCTAGGCATACTGCTAGATGAATAGTCGCAGCAATTTGTGATAGACAAGACATGCGCTACTCACACTCAAGACATGTTTCTATAAATTCGTCAAAGCTGGCACCGCACTTTATATACAGGTACCAACGCTGCAGTAATTTCATTCTGAATGAACCAAGTGTTTGTGACTTCTCCCTTCTTGGACAAAAGAATATTGACAAAGAAAAGTTACAGGAATACGCTTTAGCTAGATGTGTAAGCTCTCCTGTCGTATTCTGCTGCGCGATAATGGGGCTATATTAAACTTTTTCGAGAAAGAGCCAGAGCGCCCAGTAACGTCATATGTTGTGAGCGAGCCAAAGTTCATTAGGTACCAGCTAATCCATACGTCACCAACCCCACCGATTGTGGTCATTAGACTGTATTCTTTACGTTATGTTATTTGACTCATTTCACGAGTCAAAAATCGATTTATAGGTTTGATCAAACATCCAATGCATTGCTCGAATTGTTTGAACTTTGCTAGATGAATGTGGTGCGTCCTTTACACCCAGAAGGCGAACAATTGATCTGGTGTTGGCGTTGTTTGGTTCATGTGGATGCAAAATCGAGACGCTATCGCGTGACCAAAGGTAATTGATATCATTGAGGGCCAATCAATTCGATGGGAGTAATGGTAGTGACTTGAATCATGTTATTTAGCGTCTCGAAGTCCAACTTGGCATTTCGATTACAAAAATTCAAATTCACCGTTCAGTGTTCAAACATGAACGAAGTATATGTGGCAATTGTTTTTATACAGCGACATTTTCAATGAATAAAATGGCATATTTGACTTGCTGACAAATTCCACAGGACGTCAAACGTAGATGAGTTCCAAAAACGATGAACTGTAATGGCCGCTTCTAAAGTCAATGCGATCAAAAATGCTAGTCGTATGTGTGAAGGCAGGTCGCCGCGTCGCAACTTCACATTTGTGTGAATAAATTGACCGTGCATCGTAGGTGCTTCAATCAATGAAATGATGCGATGATACTCGCTCAGACAGCTGCTGGATTATAAGTAAGTGGTACCGTCTTTTGCGCTGTCGATTGGAAGGAAGGGTTGATCAGATCCATAAACATGAGAGCAACATGTCTTTCACTGGAATAAGCCCCCCCGGTGAAACGGCATGGGAATGTACAGTGGCGTCATCGGGTCTGAAAATGAGGAACTCATTGAGAGTGTTTGCATTGAGCCAAATTCACTCAAAGTAATGTTTTATTTGTTAGTGATCACCTTAAACATATTTGGAAAGTCGTCCAAATTCTGTGCATTAAAAGAATGTATGTGAATTTGAAGAAATGCGCTGTCTTTGCCTTCTTTGTCGTCAACAATGGTGCTCAAGCTGATGATCAGAAGGATTCGCGGAGTGGCTTATTCCTCAGAATGTTAAACAACGATGCGCACGAACACACGAACAACGATTTTGTAGCGAGGCCCGTAGGTTTTTTTGGCGATCTAACAATCTTTCGGACTTGAAGTGATTCTCAAAGGCACGAGTATATCTGGAGCAAGTCAAAATTTCTTACAGTTAGACGAGTTTCACATTACGGTTTGGTGTAAGTGAACAATTTTCGAGCTGAGTACAATGGTACTTACGAAGACATTAGGACTTCGTAAAAAAGAGGTGTTTGGTCAGTGACGTCACGCCAAGCAATGCGGATGAGTCTAAGGAATTAATTTTGATATGGATATACAAATAATTAATTACCGTTGAGACTCCCAGTCCGCCACTAAATTTAAGCTCGACCTTTGCGCGTTGAATGCGCAAGTCCGCTAAATCAGATTTTCATCCTTGCAAAGTGCTTGGCAACCCCGTTGCACTTCGCGGGAATCAATCTGATGACCAAAACTGTATCCTCTGTGAGGTTGAAACACGGGCTGCTTGATAACCTACTCTCGGGACATATAACCAGGCTTGTTAAGCTAATGTATATAGTTGGCCGCCGACGGGCGGCACGTCTGATATCGATAGAACGCCTGGACGCGCTCACCAGTCGTAAAAATGCGCTCTGGCGGGATACCTCCAGAAAGAGCTGAACTTAGCGTTGGAAGGAAGCTAGACCAGCTCACACCGTAAGCACGCCCATGTTGAATAGTCAGCCTTTTGAGGGCTGGGACGAATAAGATAAACGTGGCAAGTCTAGATAAATGTGATTTCTACATGCATCAAACGGTCCGACAATGCGACAATGCAACAATGCATCACGCTTGTCGTCTCTAAGTTACGAGGCCATTCACCAGAAAGGGACTTATGTGCAGTACCTTTGTGAAAGAGGTGCTCCAAACATGGCAATATTTGAAGCGACGTGTTCCACAGATTTTCACCCCGCCTGACAAGGGGTAAAATGACATTTTAAAGTCTCTTCTACCCGCCGAGGAAGGCAAAAGCTGGTGCTATGTTCTGGATTTAAAAGCTTATTTCGTCGCAACAGCGTCAGATCCTTTCCTGAACACGATGACAATTGACATCCAAACAGGTTAGTCGCAAGCCGAGACGATCCGCGTCCTCTGTAACTCTTTCAAAGAAGCGGTCAATTTTGCATTGAATGCGGATGCAAATTTTCGTGTCGCAAGGACTGGATGATGGGGTATCGCATTTGGATAACTATTGAGCACACCAGCGGCAACGGACCCCACCCACGCTGAGAAGAAAGATACCATTTTTTATGACGAAGCAGCTTCGCGGTACGCACCGATTTTTTTCCGAGAGAGCCCTAAATACCTACGCCCAGTGCGCATCAGATACTGTGTCATCTGACGTCGCGTTTTAAATCAGGAATCTGATCTGTTTTTTGGTGTACTGGCGATTAGATGTAATGTGCCTCTCGTCGCCACGTCGAGAAACCGATTCAAAAGGGATGACGTTAATTCGTAGGTTCTTCATAAATTGATACCCAGCTCATATTATCTGCTTTTGGAAATGCTCTCGGTGAAGGTCTAACCACGAAGAAGACTAAACTAAGCTCCCCATCCGGTACCATCGGGAATCTAATAGTGATATCACTGTCTTGATTTCATGCAAATACCCCTTGAGTAAAAATCTCGCGAATAATAAGCACAATAAGGGATAAGCTACAACTCCTACAACTAAGCGAAAGACCTCGTTTAGAAGTGAGAGATCTTTCTCGCCACGAACACAAGCATATCTACTGATCGGTAAAGTGGGCGCGTACATTGATAGTGCGGACTCAGCAGCACCGTTATTTTGTGTTATAGACTAACCACGTTTAGTTCTTCAACAGCTAGTCCTTCGATACCCGACTTAGTGTCACCCGTCTGCGCAGGTAACCGCGACAGAAAGAGGCTCTATAACCCCACCAGGTCTGGTCCAGAAGATACCAAATTATGTCTGTAATATACCGTCCTACCGGATATGTTCCCAAGATTCCACGGCAAAACATTCTCTCCGTATTAAAAATGATTTGCTGTGAATACCACAAATACGAGCATTTTTTCAGTGTCATCCTAACATTGCGGCTTACTACCGCTTCTGCCTTCCGTGTTCTGCTCAGACAAAAAAGCAATATATTTGCTTGATCATTTTAACAGGTCTTGGTTTGGCGCCACATTTATTTTGGTGTCGTGTATGCCCAAACAACTTCTTGCCATTGATGAGGAGGGCTTATAACTCCAAAAAACTCCACCGAGGGAGAAGTGCGTAGTAACAGCAATGTCGAGTTTTGATTTATCCATAATTCCTGGCGTTTCAGCCAAGCTATGCCAAGGATCAGTTCTTTTTTTTATTGTCGGTCCAGAACGAGACGACGTCCCGCGCTGTCAAGATTCTCAAATCCACTTAGTGGTTAGTGGTTCCATAATCTATTTACAAACCATCTTGTTTTCTTGTCGCATGACGCCGGAGAATTTGGTAGCTTCAATGCCTCCGCAAAATGCCTACTATTTTCTCAAGGCTCGCGTCGTACCCCGTTGCACGATGTATCAGATTTGTGCGAGGCCTCACCGATCTCGAGACGTTCAAATTCATAATCAACAACCGTCAGCTGTAAAGTCTCACCTCTCATAGACATGACGGGATCCTGTTGGCCTCGACTTATCCCGCGAGAAGTCCGACGTTCAATGCGACACGGAAACTTGCATAGATCTTAACCGAAGATACATTAATAGACTACAAGATCTTTAACCAAGAAAATATGGTAACGTAGTAGACGCGTCCCTCTGCGCGAAGCTCAAAGCGGATTTGTTTAGCGCGCATATCCCCCACACTCTGCGCGGACT